TCTAAATTTGAGTACTTTAGTTACTTTTGTTCCTAAATTCCTTTCTTTACTCTAATTTTGAATTTTTTTTTTGGATTATAGTTGCTTCTCACTTGACCAATACACCATTATTTTTGGGAATTCTGTTAATCATTGTATTGAAGTGAGACAAGTTTTATAGTTTAGGGACAAGATCAAAGTAAAAATTCGAATATAGTTGAAGAGTGCAAAATGGAAACCTTTTTATTTTGAACCTCAAGTTGTTCTCTTTCTTCTTTTTTTGAACAAACGTTTTTTTCTTCCATCTAAAATTATATCAAGGTTGATATCTTGAAATTTACAATCAAAATATGCGCCAATACACTAACTATCATGGAATTTCATCAATTAATGAAAAGCAAATCAACAATGAGCAGAATTGTACACCTCGTATAAATTGATCCTTTAAATATAGCATTTTTTTTTTCTATTTAGTGTTCTAAGAATACGTAATAAGCACTAAAAAAATGTAATTGACCCACTATAGAACTCCGGAAACATCACCACTCCTTAAATTTCGTAAACTTTAACCTAAAAAATATAAGCTATTTTAGATAAAGTAACCAGACTACTCGAGCTTCCGTTTGTTTTGTACTCTCAGGGCATGGAATAGATTAACCCTTAATGTAAATAACATTTTTTGATTAAAGACTACTTTCATTTTATGTAAGTTGCTTTTGAAAAGTTAAAAGATAAATTAGGTAAATATTTTGACTCCTAAGAATGTTGCTCTTTGTCAAAGAGGATAAAATTTTGAAGATTGAAGCAAGACATATATTATTAGAGGGGTTATATGAAGCTAAAATAATTGATTTGACGAGAAATAAACTAATGAGTAGATATAGTTACACAATTGGAAATCCTTCAAAGTTTGAGACATCTAATTGCCAATCAACAATAAAGCAATATTATTAGATAATACAAATATAATGGCTGTCTTTAATTTCACATTGACATTAATATATATATATATATATATATATGTTGGTGATGTCAATTGTCAAATTTTCAGCATCTCAAGAATATGGTCAACCCACAATGTCTTTATGACATACAATGACAATTAGACATTTTAATTGTGCTTTTAATTCGTCCACTGACTGGTTTCCTCCTCCGTCCGCAAAAATTAAAAACTTGTAACACATAATATTTAATCATATGACACTCATCAAAAGCACTAGTTCCAATTATGTAGAATTACAAGTTTAATATGCAATTTGATAAGTTGGAAATAAATTCATATAGTAAAGAAATAAACTTTGTACTTAAACCAAGCAAAGTATTGAAAAGATAATTTGATTTTTGAGCATCCTATGATTTTTTTTTTTTTTTTGCTTCACAAATTTTCCTTATCATTCAGTAATTTAGAAGGCATCTTATTCAATTGGTTTACGGGTTTTCTCAATTTTTGTTTAAAGAGGGTTAGAAAGAAAAATAAAAATTTTTAAAATCTACAATGAAAATTTTGCAAAAAATAAATAAATAAGCAAGGGCTCACAAGTTTGGAACTTAAACGTGGAAATTACCAGATGGCTGACATAGATGTGGAGGTGTTACTATCCGTTTATAAGATTTGGTATATATTCGTATAAATAGTTATATTTTTATAAGATTTGATATATATGAACAAAATTAATATGTATAACAAGATAGGATTATACTCATCTCCGGTAGAGTAAGCCTGCAGTTTCCCACAATACATTTCTGTATATGGGGGACGTGTATTGGATTTTAATCAATGGTTTTAAAACACTAGGCCTAAACCAGATTTAATTAGAAGACAGACTCCAACAAACTCTATCAACCATACACAATTATACCAAATTATTACAGCACCTGCCAGTAGTCCAAGCTGAAGTCAATAAAAATGGCACTATTGTGCATATACAACATGAGGTTTATTGAGTTTTTAACTACAGTATCTTGGGACGTAGAGGTACTAGTTTCAAATTCTCTTCTTCCTCCTCACTTCTTAAATTCCACCATTCTTTTATTGGAAAAAAAAAAAAAGAAAAACACTACAATATCCTTAGGGATAATTTCACAAACCTCTCTTGAGATTTATGACAATTTCACTCCACTCCCCTTAGGTTTTACAAATTACACTAGCCTCTCTTGTCACAATAAAATGACTATAGTGACCTTCACTTAATAAATAATTCACAGTATAATGAAATGAGATTAAAAAAAAAGAAAAAAAACCTGACTTCTTTAGCTATTCTGTTTATAAGTTATAACTAACGACGATTTTCTCTCACTTGCTATCACTCTGTTCTCATCCATTAACCCCTTCCTTCTATAATTCACTCTCAAATTACCATAAACCATTGCCTATAACTGCAGCCAATCACGCCACAAGAGATCCCTCAAGCTCTACTATATATTCCAATTCCTCCTTTCTTCTATTTGGAATTGTCAAATCACAAGTTTAGTTAAGGGATTAGAATTGATGGTCGAAGTAAAATCCGATTTCATGGTCAAACTAAAAGGAGATGAAGACGCACACAATAATAATGGAACAAATAATGCAATCATTGACCAAAAGAGGAAGAGGGACTGAAATTGGTAAATTTGCTAATTTGTCTATCATCCATCTAAAAAACTTTTTAAGATGTTAATAAGTATATTTATATTTCTTTTTATGCTTGACAATTGTTGGTTATGATTTCGCTATGGAGATAGAGTTTCTTCTCTATATTTAAGATGTTAATATGTTTGGAGATTTGATGGTAGGCTAGATTATTTTCTTTTCAGAAGGTGTGAGCATTGGGTTTTGAAGTTTAGGGTGTGATTAGTTGCAAATAGAAATTTGGTTTTTGGCAAAATGAATTTCTTGAAGATATCTATAGTTATAATGATGCCTTCCTTCTCTTAAACTTGATTAATCCCATCCATGCCTAAATTTCCCCTAAAGATTTTCTTCAAGGCCATAATGTGGCTCATGTAGTAGGAGTTGAACCACTTATATGGAACCAAACGATGACATCCTATGTTGAAATTATGCAAACACAAGGGACGGTTGATTGTAAGTTTGACCATTCTATGGAACCATATGGTGAGAATATTTTTAAAGGATGGAACGAATCTTCAAAATTGAATGCATGCTTTGGAAGAAGCAATTTTACGACTATGATGATAGAATTGCTTGGGTTTAAAATTTGGAATTAGACTATTTGTTAGGTTAGTTTGTTAGTATAGTGGGTTTGGTTGAAATGTGGAAGGAAGCAATTGGCAAAATAATTTTTGTTTTATTTTTGTACAAAAAAGGTAGTTTAGGATTTTTGAGAAAAATATAGTGTTTTGGGCCTATATTATTATATAAATAGTAAAAGTAAGGGCTCTCTACAATTGTCAAAAACCTCAGGGGAGGTTTCTGAAATTATCCCATATCCTTATGGCTATCTGATTCTTTTAATTTTAACCAATATATACATTCAACATTACATTTTGGCCACTCAATTGAATAGCTTAAGTTTGGTACACTTTAGTGTCATACCGACAATTTGATAATCTACTCAAGCTCGACTTTGATTAACATCAATAACCGGTCGGGCTTGATGAAGCACAAGTTCAAGCCCTATAAAGTCTAAATTTGAGCTTGAGCAAAAGACCACTGATACTTTATAGGGAATAAGATAAACATTTTACATGAATAAGTATTAAAAAGATGAATAATATGTTTACTTAAGGGTCAATTAAGTTTAGTAAGCTTTCCAACGTGATACTTTTTCGCTCAAGGTTAACTTGAATGCTTCAAACTTGATGCAATCTCCACGTAAAATCGAGTTGAATCAAATCAAGCTTTAGATTTCACTTATATTTCTACAACGTTTATTTTAATTTTTGGATACACACTGACATGTCAATAGAGTAGGTTATATCTACATACAACAAGGATCCATTATATTTTTAATGCCTTCCATTAAAATTTTTTAAGACCCACACCTTAGTCGGGACCAAGTCCTACAATATAATTATATGGATCCATTATATTTTTAATGCCTTCTATTTAAATTTTTTAAGACCCAAACCTTAGTCGGGACCAAGTCCTACAATATAATTATAAACCTCATTAAGGTATGGATCTTTACTATCCAAACCAACCCAAGCTAAAACCTATTTAGAATATAGACATATACTGCAAATATTTATCTATGTTACCGTATCAGTTAGCAAGTCCAACCTAATTACATCTTATCATGGCCTATTGGTTACCTACATCTATAAGGATTTGAGTATAGTCTTTTTCCATTAAATCCATCAGGGTTTGAATCTATCTAATACATTTAACAAGTTTAAATCAATGTTTGGTGGTTCCAAACCTAACCTATTACCATGCCTAGACACATTAAACCCTTGTGAAGAACTATGTATTGTTTCTTTCGTTTTTTCCCACTCTTCCCCAGAACTCTTTGATTTTTGAGGAAAGCATCATTGTTCTTTCTTCTATTATTTTCTTTTTGTCTCGGATGTAGAGAGAGGGAGGAGATGGTTGTCTGGGTATGGGACAAACAACAGGAAACCCTGTAAATGAAAAAAACTGAAATGGACAAAAAGGTTTGACACGGCAGTGCAAAAGGTTTTAGTTTGGGGCTACCTCAGACCAACATCCCCTTCACCATCCCACAATGCCAAAGAAAAAAGACAGCGCAAAGGTAAAAGAGAGGAATCTTGGTCTACTAGTCAAATGATTCCTGAACATGGGTCATGTATTATTTGCTTTTTTAACATTTGCAATTCTAATCCTTACTACAATTTATGTTTCACATAGCTGAGTAACTCGCAAACAATCATTGCTTGGAACCTTCAGATATAACCACACCATAATACACAAATCTAGTAGAAGATGAATAACCATCTAAAAGAACGTGCAATCCCAACAAAAATAACTTTGAAAGGACCCTCAGATGTTAAGATGATGACGACGCTGAGATGCCAGCAACCCCTGGGTATTAAAGAACAAGCTACATGAGCAAAAATGATACTGGTTAATGGATGCAAAAGTATATTTTCTTCCTGAATAACTGAAGACGTCAAATTAGTAACTTATACATGTCTCTGTTATGGAAGACAATTTGAAGACCGTAAAACAAAGGCAATAGTTTTGAAGTAAGAAGAATAGAACCGACTTCCATGCACATCATATACATGAACCAAGTGGAATATTTATGGCTAACATCCATAAGACAGAGAAGCCAGCAGCCAAAAGGAATTAGTCATTAACGAGACAGAAATTTCAATTATTTCTAGGCTCTGCAAAAGCAAACCATAATTTAGTTGCGTGCAATAAAATCCCAATGTACCATTGTACAACTAGGAAATGAAACAAGACCTTGCAATTGAAATTTTTATATCAATAATCCAATAATAGAAATGCATTGAGTTACAAACCATCATTGAGTTCCTCCTTTGCTTCATCCCCTGTTTTCCACACTATATCCTTCAACCCAGTTGAAAGGTTCTTGTAGAACTGCATATAAATAAAAAAGCGCAAAAATAAGTAGCTGCAAACAAGCAAATGACATATATAAAATCCTTCAGAGCAATTTTCTGTGCAGAACTAAAGACCACATAGTTCACACATAGGAGATAATTCTATGCCAAGTCTACATGGCATTGACATCTTGAAAAGCACTTCGCTTTTCTGTTTTGCCATCTTAAAGCCACTTAAATAAGCACGTGTATGTGCTTCTGTGCCTGCATATACATATAAATTATCAATCAGTGGTACATGGAGGCCGTTACATTTACTTCAAGTCGCAGATGCTGCTTATTTTTGTGAATCTAACCTTGTGAAATTCCAAAGTATCTCCTCCAGCCTTGCGAAGCTCAACCATGAAGAGTGAAGGAGCCACCTCATATATCTGTGATTAAAAAATTATAACCAGAGCTCAATTTATTGTGTCAAAAGGAATCACTAAGAAAAAGGTGCTCTAGATCCACAAAGAAACCTCTGTTGCAACAGATAAATGGCCTCATATATCTGTGATTAAAAAATTATAACCAGAGCTCAATATATTGTGTCAAAAGGAATCACTAAGAAAAAGGTGCTCTAGATCCACAAAGAAACCTCTGTCGCAACAGATAAATGGCCCTTGCGTCCTGTCTTCTCTGCTTGGAGCTTCATCTGACAAAATAACAAAATTTGATAAAAAAATGCAAGTTGAACCAGAACTACAGGTCATCATCATGTCAAAAAAAATGACATTAAAGAGCATATCCAAATCACTTAAAACATGATCCAATCACTGAGCCATTGGTTTCTACACAGATATATCAACACAATCTGTAAAAGCTAGTAGGTGCCACAAGGACTGAAACTAGCATCAGCAATTGATACAAATTTATTCAGCATTGGCCGACTGACAATTAAAGGCTAACAGAGGGCATTCAGGTGAAGACCAGAAAGCAATATTAATTACCTTGTAGTTATTTTTCTTCACTCCAAATCCCAGAGGAACAGCAGCTTCCTCAATTTTTGAAATTATTTCATTAGCAGGACGCTTAGATGTGAATCTCGTTTCCCGTTTAACAAACCCCTAGTCATGAAAGAAGCATCAGCACACATTTTGAGACACTTTAAGGGCAAGAAAAAAAATACAAAGACATAGCAATTTGTTATATAATAGTGCAAGAACTACCACTAATTTAACTTTCTCTGATCTTGAATGGATAAAGAAAGGAGCCCCAGTTAATTAACTGACTTATATAATATTTGTGAAATATTCAAGCGCATTACACAAAAGCGCCAAGACCCAATAACTTATGCAGAATAAGTGTTACATTTACAAATGATTCGTTAGAAGGAAAGGAAAATTTTCAATAACTAACCAGTATTTGGAGAAATGGTTTTCAAATTCATAAAACAAAAGTAGTGGCTGCTTTTTGGCATACAAATCAGAAGATTATATGGATTTCCATTGCATCACATTTGTTGTGACATCACTATAATTTGGAACATACCATATGTTTTTCAAAAAGAGAACTAAGGTTGAGACCCTGAGATGTTGAGATAAGCTCAAAGGCATTCATAGTTAACGGAGTAGTTGGATGTTCTTCCCGTCTCTCCACAACAAGGTTTTGGGACTCCTGAAAAATCAAAAAGCATCACATAAACAGTTCCTTTTGGTACCATCATAATACTCCATGTCATAGTCAATTGGAGCCTAGAAGAGATGAAAAAAGCAATTTTAAACACAAATACATACTGCAGATTCATCAAAAACAGAATCCACATCATCGAGACTAACTTCCTCTTGTTGAAAAACAGGTGGTTGATATCCTTTCTTGAACCAATCGTTCTCAATGAGCTCAGCAATTGTAATACGCTGTTCAATATTCAAAAAACGGCAAATGACACAGTCATACCTGCCTTCTATAGATTATAGGCAGGGTATAGTTTAATTTTCTAATTACGCCACAGAGAGAGAGAGAGAGGAAGGGGGCAGGGGCATATATACTGGCAATGCTAAATAAGAGACAAGGTTCGCATACCGTTTGGGGATTAGGGTCCAGAATTCTCTTGACCAGCCTTTTTGCACTCGAAGAGAACCATGGAGGACATGTGAATTCAGCCTTAAAGATCTGCAATTGAGGAAAAACTGAATAAAGATGTGCACCAAAACAATAGTCAACAAAGCAAACAGCACAAAATAACTCTATAATAACTCTGGAATTATATGGACCCAACAATAAAAGGCTGAAATCATCAAATGGAGAAGCTGACAGAAGGAAAATCATGCATGATTAAATTCTTCATATTTAAAAAGAATCTTCATCAGTCTCCTTTGCATCATGTCTCTTTCATCATCTAAAGAGTGTTCAATCTCACCATTTTTCTTTCTCATCACATAGAACACAATTCACAAACATAGACAAAAAATCTGATACAGTAAAAAGAACGAAAGACCAATAAGCTTATGAGCAAAAGATCCTTTGGTGCATAATAATAGGTTAAAAAAAAAAAAGTTGAACAAGGTACACATCCTGATTTATGGTGAAAAGCAACAGAATCCCTAATATTTGATGCAGTTATGGAAATGGAGATCATCATTCTTCATTTAGACAAAATGTAGAGGTACACTTCAAGATGATGATGCCTGCCCCCCTTTTTTTTGGGGGGGGGGGGTTGGATGCAAGAAAAAAACCTGAGAATTACTTTTAATGCAAGGACTTACAGAAGTATGGAGAGGAAACATAGACATTAATTACAATTCCAAAATTTGAACCATGGCAGAATACTGAAGAGGACATGCAAGCAAACTAGATATTTTACCAGTCCATGGTCAATGATCAAAGGATTCTTGATAAAGAAAATAGCATTTGTCATATTCCACATAACATAGAGAAAAAAAAGCTGCCTCAAGAACACAACACAACGAAGCATGAACCTCCAAGACTATGTTATTAAAATGCTGTTAAAAGCATGGATAACGTCAAATTGCATTTCAAATAGATGGCAGGGCAAACCTTTTTATACAATGACAAGAGATTTGATTCTTCAAAAGGCAGGTAGCCAGCCATAAGGACAAAAAGAATTACGCCACAAGACCACAAATCTGCTTTAGCACCATCATAACCTTTATTGTTGATCACCTGGGTAGGTAAAAACTGAAGAATAAGAACTGAAGCAATTACTATAATAACAAGCTAAATTGAGTAGAACAAAATATTAATCATGTACCTCGGGAGCAACATAATTTGGTGTTCCACATGTTGTATGTAGTAAACCATCTTCCTGAACAAATACATCAAGAAAATGTTGGAATTCTCTTATGCAGCACAGGCTGTAGAAACTTTGGCATAGTTATTCATAGACTATGATACAGTATGCTAATCATTTTGAGATAGATTGAGAACAGACAAGAATGTGTGATAATATTCTTCTCAAATTTAAAACAGAATTGTCATACTCGAACTTGCTGAGGCAGTGCACTTAATCCAAAATCTGAGACTTTAAGAACTCCATTTGCATCCAGCAACAAGTTTTCTGGCTGAGTTACAGATAACGCTAAGGTCATAACAAATTTGCTCATCATTGCAACAACAGGCCAAGCTAAGGTCATAACAAATTTGCTCATCATTGCAACAACAGGCCAAGTAAGTGGCTCATCTATTTTAAGATAGACTTAATGGTCAACCAATTTTATTACCTTGAGGTCCCTATGACATACACCTCTGCTGTGACAATAATCTACAGCATTAATTAGCTGCTGAAAATACTTTCTTGCTTCATCTTCTTTAAGCCTACCTTTAGTAGCCTGGTTTCAAAATGAGCAAATTATTAGCCCTTTTATCCAAAGGACGTATTGTGATTGTAACAAGAAGAAAAACCTGAAGTAACAACATTCTTACAATTTTGTCAAAGAGTTCACCACCTGTGACAAATTCAAGCACAATATATATCTTGGTCTTGCTCGCCATGACCTAAACAGGAGTTTAAATGCTAACAAGTGAAGAAAGCAATCTTGAAAGAGAAACTCACAAATTCAATGAGAAGTGAGATGTGTTAATAAGAAAATAGATTGGAGAGTGTGCAAATCAGAAGAATCAACAGGTCAATCAGAATCAAATAAACAGAATCTAAATTTATACTGTCTAAGACTAGATACATGCAAAAGCTATGAAACCAACTCAAGTAACAATTCAAGCAATTTTTGATGTCTAACCTCAAACATGCGGATGACATTTGGATGCCTGATTAACTTCATAGTTGATATTTCACGTTTAATCTGCGAAGGACAATCAGAATTACAACATAAATGAAAGTATTTAAATTAGTTGAGTTGGAATACGCTTCACATGAAAGCTATGACAACCCAACAACACATTTACAATAATTCTTCAAAATGTTAATAGGTTTTCCAACAATTAAAAATATCTAGGCCTCCATGAAGAGTGTGTGACAGATGCATTGAACATAGAACTGAATCCATAGTACCAAATTTCTGCTGTTATCTGTCCCAGCACAACTCTTTACAGGACTACATGGTCAGAAGAAGTACTCACAATCAACAGGTAAAAGCAGTTAGCCAGAGTTTTCATCACAGGCAAGCTGGAGTAGCCTCAGATAAGCCAAAAAATAAAGGGACCGCTGAAAAAATATTAGTACTAAAAACTACAAGCAAAAATGTTCCACTTATCCTTGCTTCTAGTAATTGCTACTACTGCACACTAAGCTGAAGAAAGAACAACTTCATCAAGCAGCCTTTCACACAAAAAAAAAAAAAACCATATAAACTTTATTCGTTTACCTACTTGACAGCCAATATAAACATTTCACATCAGTTTAAGACATTAATCAAACACGACAAGGAGAAAAAAAAAACAAAAAAGAAACCAAGAAACCTACTGGGAGTTTTATTTTAAAAAGTCAACCCCTTCTTTATTTTTCCATACAGACGGAGAAATGCAGAATCAAACGAAAAAAAGCAAACCAACCCATATCAGTCAGTGATCAAAACCAAGAATTCTCAAAAGTCATGTGTTCATCATTCAATAATATAGTGAATTACACAAAAACTAATAACTAAAAGGTACCTGACCGATCATTTTGTGTTTGAGAATCTTCTCTTTGTCGAGAATCTTGATGGCCACATTCTCACCCGTCTCTATATTTCTTGCAAACTTCACCTTAGCAAAAGTCCCCTCCCCTAATGTTTTTCCCAGCTCGTACCTTCCTACTCTTGTCTTCGAAGCACCGAACCCTCCGCTACCTCCGCTTGATCTTGATGATGCCATCTTCATATTCGCAAATCCCACCTTTTTTTTTAACAAATGAATCTCTATTTCTCTTTTAACCAAAAATATTTCTGCCTGGGCCTCAGCCGCCCCAAGAGCAATCAACGTCCCCTTCTTGTACAAATCCCATCCATTTTACAGCTTTTCCTTTGTGGGCTCTCTCTGAAATTATCGATTTTCCCCTATGCAGTACAAAATATATTGATTTAATTATCAAATTTCTAAATCCCTCTTCTTCTTGCAAGGCTGCCAAACCTGAGACTTCTCCACATTCATATTCCAAATTAAATCTTTTACCCGACTCGTTTCACCACAAGATGGAATAGAAAAACACTCAGATCAGTCAGTTTCGAAGAATTTTAGTAGGGGTGGAGAAAACGACGACTGTCTAAACGCCATAAATGCTCCTGGTCACAAGTTAAGAAAATGAAAATTACTCTAAACTTCCTCCTAAAAAGGAAAGATTCAGAAGCATTTTAGATTTTAGATACTGGTACTACTAATATTTTCCTGGGATTTTCTTGGTTTGTGGCATTTATGTCGGGAAGGGGATTCAAGATTTGGAAGCAGAAAAGTCGATGAAACAGGGGAAAGTTCAACTACTAATTAGTAGTCGTTTTTAATTGGTAAACTAATAAGGGCGCATATTTTTGGTCAATTATGAACGAGGAGTACAAGGAAGCAGGAAAGCGATGATGCCGACAGAAATTAATGGGCCGCAAGCTTCCATGAACTTATTAGGATTGAAGGAGACTTCTTGGCTGGACACGAGTCGGGTATCCGACTTGAACATGATTTGGTTGTCTACTTTATCGGATCATAATTTTTTGGATCCTAATCTGCTTCGCTTATTTTTGGATACCCGATTCTCGGGTATTCGAATAAAAGGGGTGGGTCATAGGGTATCCATCCCTATAATTCTTATCTGGGAAAATCGTAAAAAACGTCTCTCACATTTTATAAAATGACTTTTTTCATCCCTTACTTTTAAAAGTGTAATTTTATGTCTCTTACATATTCACATCGATCAAATTTAGTCCCTAACTAGGTTTCCGATCATTTTTTGGCAGGAATCCATCACGTGCAAGGCACGTGATCATTTTTTAAGGGTAAATTTGTCAAATTATATTTTATATAATCTGATTTATAGTCCTCCACATTTTATAAAACAAATTTTTTCGTCCCTCACATTTTATAAAATGATTTTTTCATCCCTCATATTTCACAAAATGAATTTCTCCATCCCTCACATTTCAAAAAATGAATATTTCCATCCCTAACTAATTATGTATGTGAGGGAAACCCTAAAAAAAATGTGTGTGAATACATTTTGTTTAAACACATGTATATGTCTATTTGATTTTGCTTAATAATACGAATAGCATAAATATATGTATGTGTCTATTTGATTTCACTTAACAATATGAATACCATATATTATACGTGATCATTTGATTTCATCTGGTATCAGCTAGTAAATAATCTTGCATTCATTGTCAAGTTGGCCAATAAAGCTATTTTCGATCAAAATACAATAAGAATATGCAAATTAAGGTTCTATTGGTAAATATTAGTCATAATCATACAAAAAGAAAAGATAGCCCATAAGTTGGGCCCAATTACATACATATGTTTATGCTATTATTATTAAGCAAAATCAAATAGACATATACATGTGCTTAAAAAAATGTATTCACACACATAATTAGTGAGAAATGAAAAATTCATTTTTTGAAATGTGAGGGATGGAGAAATTCATTTTGTGAAATGCGAGGGATGAAAAAAATCATTTTATAAAATGTGAGGGACGAGAAAATTTATTTTATAAAATGTGGAGGACTATAGATCAGATTATGTAAAATATAATTTGACAAATTTACTCTTCAAAAATGATCACGTGTCTTGCACATGATGGATTCCGGCCAAAAAATGATCGGAAACCTAGTTAGGGACTAAATTTGTCCGATGTGAATATGTAAGGGATATAAAATTACACTTTTAAGAGTGAGGGATGAAAAAAGTTATTTTACAAAATGTGAGGGACGTTTTGGACGATTTTCCTTTCTTATTTACCAGTCTAAGAAAAAAATACATTACTAATAATCATTTTTCAAGCACAACAAATTTTCAAGAAGCTACAATCTCGAAACTATTCAACAACCTCAAAAAGATTTCAACAACAAAATTTCAACTGAAAACACAAATTAAAACATTGAACATCAATACAAAAGGTTTATCCTTCTATAACACATTAAGGAGAATGATCCACACTTGGGCTTGCAGTTGTAGTTGCTGTATTATCTCCCATACTTGACATCTGAAAAATTCAAAAAACTTTAACTGCTATACATCTGGAAACAAGAACAGATATTACACCTTAAACAAGAAAAACTGATTGTTCAAAATATAGCAATTCGTTGCATTTTTTGGTTACTTAAGTTTAAGGAAAAATGAGGTACCTTATGTCAGTGATTGATTTTATATGTTTCTTGATTGGTTAAACAACTGTGGTCCATTACACTTATTCCAACAAACACTTAAAGCAAAAAATAACACTTAAGCAAAGCGTCAGTAACCTTTGTCAACTTTGTCCATTTTGCTTTGATAATTGAGAAGTCTGATTTTCTCAACTACGAGATTTCAGAATCAAAATGCAGGATAAATATAATGGCGCAGGGGAATGTTATGACGAAATGCATAGGAGAGGATTCTGACTGCTTTTGTCTACTTTATACGTTTTGCTTCGTTCAATTAAAGAGGATGAAAGTGATCCTTCTCTTGTTTTGGATAATTGAGGAGCACTTTTGGGCATATTTAGGGAAGTTTGAGACATTATAACCCTTGATTTAATTAAATTGTCAAATCGTGCTTTAACTTATAGATAATTGGCGCATTAAAGCTTAATAGGAGGCTCAAATAACAGTTTTAGGCAATATATGTTAACACATGATTTTGCATTATACAAGAATAGCTATGTATTATTGATAAATAGTATTAGAAATAAAAAAAATACAAATGAATCAATCTCAGAACTATACATTTTAAAACCACAAAAGATTTAAACTCAAGCCGAACTTTCATACCGAGTTAGACGGTTTGAAAGCTAGGTTTGCTTGGATTTGTTTATAACCCTATTTGTGGATTCAGGCATCAAAAATATTGCAGTAGGATTCATGCATTATCTTCCAGATATCAAAAAAAAAAAATGGGTGGAATTCACTTACTAGGTTGAGGGCTTGCTTTGAAGGTCCAGCGTTCAATTGAGGGTCCGGCGTTTTGTAACTTTTGCTTGAGGGCTTGCTTTGAGAAGCACCAGCAAATAAAAAATGGGTTGTGATTCTCTCATGATTCCAAGACAATTGTATATTTGTAGCATGAAGTGGTGAAAATTGAAGAGAATGAGAGGAGATATTATTGTGAATGTGAAGACAGAAGACAAAGAGAAACTAAAGACTAAATGTCGATGGACTTAGGGCTTTAGGGTTAATAACTTAAGGAAATTATAAAATTGGCCCCATATTTTCTAATATTTATATAATATACCCTGGGTTGGGTACCAGCGGGTTTTTATTTGTATGACCCGTATCTGTATTCGAATTTTATAGGTACCCGACCCTCATCTGCTTTGCTGATAGAAATCGGATCGAATATCCTAATTTTCGATGCGGGGCGGATCGGATTGGTCGAGTTTTCGGGTTGACGGGTTTTTTTGTCCTCCCCTACTGATAGCCCATGAGTAAGGCCAATGCAAGTAGTTCCAAAGAAGGCAGAAATCACAGTAGAAGCTAATAATAATAGGGAGCTGGAACCAGTTCGCAAACCTACAAGATAGCGCTAATGCATTTATTATTGAAAGCTAAATGTCATTACAAAAAAGGATCATTATTTTCTTCCTTTTATAGATCAGATGTGTTGATCTTGATCCCTATCTTTTGATGTTTACAAAACAAATGGATGATACTAATATTTCTTCAAGATATATTTTCAGTTATGAAGTTATTTGATTCCATGATCAAGTACAATTGAAAGATGACAAAGTATGCTGAATCTGTCGGACGCTCAAGATGTCAGGATCGGACGTCCGATAATCATTGCACAACTTCGGACGCATGCTTCGGACGTCCGATAGGATCTTTCGAAGTCGACGAAACTATCGGACCTATCGGATGCTGAATATGTCTCTACCGGACGTCCGATAGAAACAAGATAATTTCTCAAATTTGTTTGTTTGCTGTCGGACGCATAAAGAGCTTGCACCGGACGTCCGAAAGAATTGAAGAAAATCTCTGAAACTCACTGCCTGCTGTCGGACGCATAAAACAGGGCTATCGGACGTCCGACACTCCAACGGCTAGTTGACTCTTCAGCTACTTTCTATCCGTTGGAAGCTTTAATGAGGCTCTTTCTTAGTCCTATATAAATAGTGGTTGGTCAGATACTTCAAATAACTTTGGCACACTGAAGATACAAAAGATCTAGAGAGATTTTAGTGAGAAAATACTCCAAAAAGAATATTTGTAATCTTAGTGGTGTGAGGTTCATTGTAAGCTTTTCATTTGTGAGTGAATCTTTCATGAGTGTAGCTCTGTGAGGGTTGTCCTGAGGGATAGTAAAACGTCCTGACTTGACCGAGTGCTGCTTGGGGCAAGGAGGAGGTGAACCTTCCTTTGTACACAAGAGTGATTGTAATTCATCAACTTGAAGTAGATTGTTTCAATTAATCTACAAGCTCAAGAGGAGTTGGGTAGTTAATTGGTTTGCAATTCTTTCCTTTTTATTTACTTATTGTTTCGTTTATGATCTTTGCATTGGTTGTTTTGGGCCTTACAATTGGTATCAGAGCTTGGTCTCCTAGAGATTAAGCTCAATCGGCTTTGGAGTAAAGATGACAACCAATAATGCTATGTTTTTTGAAGGACATTCTGTTATTAGACCACCTGTGTTTAATGGGTCAAACTATATGAGTTGGAAAGAAAGAATGATTATCTTTTTGCAATCTATTGATATCGAATTGTGGTTTATTATTAGTGAAGGTCCATATGATGCCTCTCTTATAGATGAAAATACTCATGCATCTAGACCGAAAACAAGAAGTGAACTGACTGCTGTGGATAGAGCTCATCTCACCTTAAATGCAAAAGCCATGAATGTGTTATATTGTGCATTAGACTCAAATGAATCTATTAGAGTCAGGGGTTGCAAGTCAGTTAAAGAAATTTGGGACAAACTGAAAGAAATTCATGAAGGTAGTGAGAATGTTAGAGAACAAAAGAAGTCCATTCTAGTTACAAAGTATGAATCTTTCAAGATGGAACCTCATGAAAATGTTGATCAAATGTATTGTAGATTCAATGATCTCATTAAAGATTTAGAGGTGCTAGAAAAAGAATATTCTGTTGGTGAGAAAAATAGAAAAATCCTGAATGCCTTGTCCAATGATTGGGAAAATAAAGTGACTGCTATTGAGGAGGCTAGAGATTTGAATACTATGCGTGTTGAATCTCTTATTAATTCTCTTACCTCTTATGAGCTGAAACTTAAGACTAAGGTGCAAGAGGAAGAGGATGCAAAAGTGCGAAAGAATATTGCTCTAAAAGCCTCACAAGATGAAGATGATTCTGCCTCCCTAGATGAAGAAGATGTGGAAGGTGATGACAATGATATCGTTCTCATCACAAAAAGTTTCAAACGAATACTCAACAAG